ATATATATATATATATACTAAAAATAATATTTTTAATTAAAGTTACAATTGTATTTAGTATAAGTATTGTAAATTAACATTATAATATATAAAATTATATTTCATATATACTAATATAATTTTATAATGAATAAAAATTATTTATACTAATATATAAAAAAAAATCTATAAAAATTCTATTAGCAATTAATATAATGAATAAAAATTATTTATACTAATATAGTAGGTACTATAATTATTAGCACAATTATACTAAATATTAAGTACTATATTAGTATATATACTAATATATTAGTACATAAAAAATTAAATTAGTATTTAGTATATATTATAACTTAATAGTATAATTTATTTATCACATTTAGTATATTAGTACAATTTATTTAGTATATATTATATTATAAATTGATAGTATAATTTATTCATCACATTTAGTATATTAGTACAATTTATTAATCACATTTTTCCTTCCCTTTATTTGTTTTATTCCATTGGTCATCACATTTTTTTCCTTCACATTTAGTATATATTATAAATTAATAGTATAAAATTACATTAATTGTTATAGGAAAAAAAATATATTAGTATAAATTATTAAGTTATATATATTAATTAATTATCTTATAAAATAAAATTAATTGATATTACGTTAGAAGTAAGAATTGATTATATAATAAATTACAAATTATTATTATTATTTTGAGATAAGTTATAATTCATTATTTTTGTAAAATTATTAACATACATCGTAACATATTGCAGGTACCACTCGAAGATTTTGGAGGAGACAGTGAAGATTACCGAGCTTGTTTCGCTACAGATGAGTTATTTGATAATCCCGACAAAGCTATTGAATGGGCAAAAGACATTGCAATAATATGGGGTTTCCACTTGGTCATCTCGAGACACAATGAGGATGGAACGGTTCGGACGTTGAGGTGTGATCGAGGGGAACGTTACAGGGGGAAGGCAGGAAAACTAAGAAATTTAGTGAATGCTGTCTTGAGACGTTCGAAGACGAAATATACTTTTTTTTCAGTTAAATGTGAAATTTGAAGAGGTATCCCAAAAATGGTGTATCTGGCTTCCTTTAGAAGACGAGAAGGGATTTCATAATCATGCATTGACTGTGTATCCCGAGGGTCATCGACAGATCAGCAGACTCAGCGATTCATCCAAAGATATTATCCGTGACATGAGTGATGCTCAGGCAAGACCGACAGCAATTTTGGCTGCAATTCAGGAGAAAAACCCTGTGGACAACGCTACTTGACAATAAGTTTATAACTATAAAGCTCGATTGCGAAAAGATCGTCTAGGGGGTCGAGATATTGTTGGCCAGCTTCTGCATTTGGCTACCGACAGCAACTACATAGTTTACACAGACGTTGACCCGAACACACAGACGTTGACACGTGTGTTCATGTCGCATCCACGAGCAGCCAGTCTATTCCGAACATATTATTGGTATGTCGGTATAGATTCCACGTACAAAACCAACAGGTATGTTACATTACTTTATAAATCTATAAATATAAAAAGATTTAGTAATTAATCGGTCAAAATAAAATTTGAAATTGCATGTCCCAGATTTTCTTATAATTTTGGATTGGTTGTAAATAAGGATATTTGAATAAAAAATAAAAAAAAAGAATGAAATTGTCAACAATTGCGGCTTCAGTTGTCCGAGATTCTTAAAAAAACTTCGGTTGATGTTGTTACAAAAAGAAAAGGAAATAAATATAACAAGATTGTATTAAAAAATCAATAAAATCTGTAAAAACATAAATCGGTCAAATATTATTACATGATAGTTTAATTAAATATTGTTTTTGAGACAAACATTCGAAATTGTTTACGATTTTTATTCACACTTTAATTAAATAGTGTTAATTATTCGAAATTGTTTACGATTTTCATTTGCACAGGTATCACATGTCGTTGGTTGAGATGATTGGAATGACGCCGTGCAACAAGAACTTCTTAATTGCTTATGCAATTGTGAAGGACGAGACCGAGTATAGCTATGACTGGGTCCTACAGCGGTTGAGACTGATGATAGAGTCTGATAAACAGCCTTCAGTCATTGTCAGTGATCGGGAGTCGGGGTTGATTACTCCTATTCAGAGGAATTTCCCAACGACGCCCCACTTACTCAGCACGTGGCACATCAACAAGGACGTGGAAGACAAGGTCTATCGGCTGACGTCCAAAAATAAGATCTTCGCGCCGAAGTTCACGCACGACAAGTGGAAGAAGGTTGTCAAGGCGAACACGTGGGAGAAATACAAAACTTCCGTGGAAGATATGGTTGTTA